TCTCCGTTCCACTTCGATCTCACCCCCTCACCTCCGATACATTACCTTCGGGGGGCTCCGCGGGTCCCCGCCCCCTGGCGCGCGCAGCGCGCTGTATAGGGGCGGCGCCGGAGGCGCCGCCACGGGGGCCCCCAGCGCAGGCCCCAGAAATTCGCCCGGCCCCTCCCAACGTTGAAGGGGCCCTGGGACACACAACAAAAATTCACACGAGTAGCAGGCTTCCCCATCTTTTCCCACATGTTCTGGGTTCTTGTCTTCCCCCCGACGTCGTAGAGTTTCCCACATCTGTTTTGGGGGATCGACGATGACTCGTGTCTGTGTGAGTGTTTTTTGCCCCCCTGAAAAGGCTGTCTTTGTGTCGCGCTTCCTTCTTCAACCCGGGACCCACCTTGACGATCCTCGGCGGCAGCTGCTCCCCAGGGAAGGCCTTCAGCGCGTCCGCGCCGTAGCGCAGCGCGGCCAGCGCCTCCGTGGGCGTCGCGACGCCGGGCACGCTGACGAGGCCCAGGGCCTTCGTTGCGCGTATCACCGACTCGTCCATGTTGGGGCTCACGACCTGGGTGGAGGAAGAGGCACCTTGCCGTCGCTCGGACGGCCATCTCCCGAGCATTTTGTCGGTTTCGTGCGTGTTTGTTTTGCTCGGCGGTCCAGGATGGTCCTCGATTGGGGAGACAAAAAGTGGCATAAACAAAAAAACTCAGAGATCCGCGCGGATTTCTCGGATCGGCGCTGGGGCCCCCCGGCGGCGCCTCCGGCGCCGCCCCTGGCGCGCTCCGCGCGCCAGGGAGGGGGGTCCAGCGCCGATCCGAGAAATCGGCGCGGACCTCGGAGTTTTTTATGTTTATGTCACTTCTTGTTCCCCTAAGGATGGCCCTCGATGGTTCTCGCCGAGAAAAAATGCACACATCCGCGCGATGCCACGGCACCGATGCCGCTGCTCCGTGGACCTCTCGTGGGCTGCGCTCTGACCAGGACGCAAAGGCGAGCCCTGCCGTGGCGAGGGAGGGAGGTGGATGACGAGGACAAGGAGGAGGAGGAGGAGGAGGAGGAGGAGGAGGAGGAGGGGGGGGGTGGAAGAGGTTTGCTGCGAGAGCCCGCCTGAGGAGGAGGACCAGTGTCAACCCAAGAGTCATCGACGATGTAGACTGGGCAGCGGTGTCGGTACCTCTTCTCCCGAGACGACCAGCGTGCCGCCCGCACCAGCGACGGCCCGCACGTCCTCCTCGGCCAGCACGGTGCCGGCCCCGACCACGACGTCGGCGGGCACCGCGCCCGCGATCAGCCGGATGTGATGGGCCTGTTTTCCAACAACGCCAACAACCAGCCGCCCTAAAGCGGAGGATGAGGGGGTCCTCCTCCCTCCTCCTCCTCCTCCTCCTCCCTCCTCCTCCTCCTCCTCCCTCCTCCTGCCTCCCTCCTCCCTCCCACTTCCCTCCCTCCCTCCCTCCCTCCCTTCCTCCTCCTCACCGCTCCTCCCTCCCCTCCTCCCTCCTCCCTCCCTCCCTCCCTCCACCCCCCTCCTCCCCTCCCCCTCCCCTCCTCCTCCCCTCTCCTCCTCCCTCCCTCCTCCACCTCCTCCCTACCCTCCCTCCTCCCTCGTCCCGCCTCTACAACCCAAGTCTCCTCCTCTCCCTCCTCCTCCTCCACCTCCTCCTCCTCCTCCTCCTCCTCCTTCCCCTCCTCCTCCTCCTCCTCCTCCTCCTCCTCCTCCTCCTCCTCCCCCTACCCCTCCTCCTCCTCCTCCTCTCCTCCCTCCTCCTCCTCCTCCGCCCTCCTCGCCCTCGTCCTCGTCCTCGTCCTCGACCTCGTCCTCGTCCTCGTCCTCGTCCTCGTTCTTCTCTCCTCCTCCTTACCTCCTCCTCCTCCTGCCCCCTCCCTCCCTCCCCCTCTCTCCCCTCCCCCTCCCCCTCCTCCTCCTCCTCACTCCTCCTCCTCCTCACCTCCTCCCCCTCCTCCTCCTCATACCTCCTCTCCTCCTCCTCCTCCCTCCTCCTCCTCCTCCTCCTCCTCCCCCTCTCCCATCCTCCCTCCTCCTCCTCCTCCTCCTCCTCCTCTCCTCCTCGTTCCTCCTCTCCTCGTCCTCGTCCTCGTCCTCCTCGTCCTCCTCCTCCTCCTCCTCCTCCTCCTCCTCCTCCTCCTCCTCCTCTTATCATTCTTCTTCTTCTGATTATTAGTATTATCATGTTCCTCCTTATTCATCTTATCATTCTTCTTATTTGTTCTAAGTATTCTTAGTATTCTTCTTAATATTATTCATGATATTATTATTACTATTATTATTATCATTCTTATTAGTATTATTATTATTACTACTATTATTTTTCTTGTTGTTATGAGTATGAGTAACATTATTAGTATTATTATTATTAGTAGTATTATTATTAGTATTATTATTATTAGTATTATTAGTTTCTTTATTATTGGTATTATTATTACTACTACTACTATTATTATTAGTATTAGTATTATTACTATAATTAGTAATGATATTACTATGTTTTATTATTATTCGTATTATTATTAGTATTATTATTATTATTATTATTGTTATTTGTATTAGTATTATTGTTATTAGTGGTATGCTTATTCTTCGTCTTCTTCTTATGATTATTCCTCCTCCTCCTCCTCCTCCTCCTCCTCCTCCTCCTCCCCCTGACCCCCTCCTCCGCCTCCTCCTCCATCTCCTCCTCTTCCTCCTCCTCCTCCTCCTCCACCTCCCCTCCTCCTTCCTCCTCCTCCCCCTTCCCCTCCCCCTCCCACTCCACCCTCCCCCTCCCCCCCCCCCTCCTCTCCCCCTCGCCCCACCTCCTCCTCCTCCCCTCCTCCGCCTCCTCCTCCTTCACCTCACTCCTCCTCCTCTCCTCCTCCTCCTCATTACCTCCTCCTCCTCCTCCTCCTCCCGTCCTCCTCCTCCCCCTCGTCCCTTCCTCCTCCTCCTCCTACACTCCTCTTCCTCCTCCTCCTCTCCTCCTCCTCCTCCTCCTCCTCCTCCTCCTCTCCTCCTCCTCTCTCCTCCTCCTCCTCCTCTCCTCCTCCTCCCGACCTCCTCCTCCCCCTCCCCCTACCCCCCTCACTCCCTCCTCTCTCCACCTCCCGCCTCCTCCTCTCACCTCCTCCTCCTTGTCCTCGTCCTCGTCCCTCGTCCTCGTCTCAGTCCTCCTCCTCCTCCCCCTCCTCCTCCTCCTCCTCCTTCTCCTCCTCCTCGTCCCCTCCCTCCTCCTCCTCCTCCTCTCCTCCTCCTCCCTCCTGCCTCCTCCTCCTCCTCCTCCTCCTCCTCCTCCACTCTCCTCCTCCTCCCTACCTCTCCTCTCCTCCCCTCCTCCTCCCCCTCCTCCTCCTCCTCACCTCCTCCTCCTCCTCCTCCTTCCTCCTCTCTCCCCCCCCTCCTCCTCCTCCTCCTCCCCTCCTCCCTCCTCCTCCTTTCCTCTCCATCCTCCTTCCTCATCTCCTCCTCCTCTCCTCCTGCTCCTTCCTGCCTCCTCCTCCTCCTCCTCCTCCTCCTCCTCCTCCTCCTCCTCCACCTCCTCCTCCTCCTCCTCCTCCTCCTCCTCCTCCTCGTCCTCGTCCTCGTCCTCGTCTCGTCCTCGTCCTCGTCCTCGTCCTCCACCTGCTTCCCCCCTCCAACTCATGGTGGCGGTGGTGGAAAGCAGGCCCCTCGGGATGCTCTCGAGCGCGCCGGGGGACGTCAGGGGCACCTCCACGATGCGCACGCCCGCCGCCACCAACGCCCGCGCCACGGGCACGGCCTCCGCCGCCTGGCTGGCACGGCCAAAGTGCGGCCCCCCGAGATCCTGGCCCCGCACACGCTCTGTTCTGCGGGGCGACGGCAGGGGGGGACTGCATAAGTCGCCGGCCCAACGGGCCAAGGGCGTGCTAAGATCTCCGGCAACTGGTCAACGATATTGTTAGTTCGCGCGCGCGGGGCCGCCCCTGCAGGGGTCCCCAGACGAAGACTACCCCGGGACACCCCCGGGACACCCCTGGGACACTCGGATCAGAGATGCCAGACCAGGCAATTTTTCGACACCACCCCTCACGAGGATCGTGGCCTCCGAGGGGAGGGGCGCAATCGACTACCCCCCCTCCTGACCCAAGAGGTCCCCAAGAGCACCCAAAGAGGCTGCAGCTGGGCCCAAAAGACGCCTCTAAGGAGCCCCAAGAGACTCCCAAGAGGTCCCCAAGAGGTCCCCAAGAGGCCCTAAAGAGGGCTCCAGGGCCGGCGGAATGAGCGAAGCGATTAAATCAGGGGGCAAACCTCGACCTGGAATCGGCGATGCCTCGCCGACATCGGGGGCGCGCAAACATGGATCAGCGATGCATGGAGTTGGCGCGCGGTCCCCCCCAAGGTGCGGCCGTTGCCGCCTCGTTCGGCGTCTGAGATCCGCGATTGCCCATGGGAAACGAGACCCGTCGCTAATCCACGCCCCCGTCAATCTATGGTTGCGATCGCCTGACGATAGCGCCCCGATGGAGCGGAGACGGGCCCCCGATGGTGAATCCGTCCGTTCCTGGGCAGGCTGGGGCTGCCGGGGCCCCCATCGGCGATCCATGGGCGACTGGGGGTCGATGCATCCCCCCCTTTTTCCCCATCCTCCCCTATACCCGTCGGTCGGAAGAAGTAGGTAGAAACATGAAGTAGGAAGGCGCTGGAAGTGGACTGGGTCTCCGCCCGCCCGCTGCAGAGGACGGAAGAGAAGGAGCCACTCGATCGTTAAAGTAGGAAGGCGCTTATAGCAGATTGGAATCTGGGACTCTAAGAAATACTACTTTCAACGACCGGCGTGCATCGTTGCCCCCGAGCAGGGCCCCGGACAGGACAGCGCGCCAGCGGCAGCGGAGCTCACGCCCCGCGGGAGCGACGGCGCCGGGCGGTGTGCCATGCCCGCCCGGGCGGGCCCCGGGGCCCTCCTCATCCCTCTCCAGGGGGAATATGCAAAAATAGTCAACAAATAGTCTGGGGACTGCTTTTTTAGTATTCTTTGACCATGTTGGAATATGTTTAGAGTATTTGTTATTTTCCGTCGAAAATCCCCCTGTATGGGGGACACGCCCGACTCAAAGCCAGCTCGGAAAACGCCGCAGCAACATGGCCCGAGGGCGCTGGTCGTGCTCTGTGTCGATGCTCCCCACACAGCGTCTGCACGCAAGGTTCCGTGGTGGTTCTCACGTCTTTTTCTGAAAGATAGGGGGGGCCTCCCTCCCTCCCTCTCCTCCTACCGTCTGCTCTTTCGTATCCTCCTGCTCCTCCTCCTCCTGCCTTTCCCCCTCCTCCTGCTCCTGCTCCTCCTCCTCCTCCTCCTCCTCCTCTCTCCTCTCTCCTCCCCCTCGCCGATCCCCTCTGCCAAACTCCGCCAAAGCGGCTCCGCGCGCCGAGCAGCAATCGAACGAGCACGGCCCCTGGCGGGATCCCCGGACTTCCGCCGCGTGCCCGCTCGTGGGCGCCCCGCGTGCCGAGCGGGCTGCCGAGGTTCAGCCGAGGCCCCGCTCGTGCACGCCCCGTGCCCGCTCGTGGGCGCCCTGTGGCTTAACAGCACGCTAGCCTGCACCACATACATAACACAAACCAAAGCGCTTGCACTGCACAGTTCAGACCACATAGCTACACAGCCGTGCAGAGCAGCTCCCACCTCCACGGTGCAATCATTCACTGTTTGGGGTCTACGCTGGCAACACATCCTCCTCCTCCTCCTCATGCTCCTCCTCCTCCTCCTCCTCCTCCTCCTCCTCCTCCTCCCTCCAATTCCCTCCTCTTCCTCCTCCTCCTCCTCCCTCCCTCTCTCCTCCTCCTCCTCCCTCCTCCTCCTCCTTCTCCTCCCCTCCTACCTCCTCCTCCCTCCTCCTCCCCTTCCTCCCTACTTCCTCCTCCTCCTCCTCCTCCTCCTCCTCCTCCTCCTCCTCCTCCTCCTCCTCCTCACTCATCCTCCTCCTCCTCTTCCTTCCTCCTCCTCCAACTCCTCCTCCTGCTCCTCCTCCCTCCTCCTCCTCCCTCCTCCTCCTCCCTCCTTCTCCCATTTCTGCTCGCGACGTCGGATCTCAGAGAGCGAGCGTGTCCTGGTGGAGACGGGGCCCCTGGGTGCCCCCCCCCCCCCTGGACCCCGCTCGTCCCCTGGTGGTCCTTGGACGGCCCTGCAGCCCGGGACTCGCCCTGGGAGCCCGACCGTCCGCGGAAAAGCTGAATCCAGCGGCAATTTCCAATTGTTGCTGAGAGTCGTTATGATGCTCCTGGACAAGCGCACATATTCACAGATAGGAAACATAGGATCGCGGGAGCGGGAGATGGAATGCTGGAGCATCGGGGAGCAGTGCCTCCATGACCACTCTTCTGCATGGCGGCCTCTGGTTCGGGAGTCAAGGATCGACCTGCACGACCTGCGAATCGATCCTTCCCCGGGATCGCTCTGGCCAGGACGTCGATGGGAGGCCAGCCGTGGCGACGAGGAGCCCCCGAGAGGCCCAGAAACAGAGAGGGAGCAACAACCCACAGCCTCGATCCTCAGACCTCGAACCTCGAATCGTCGCATGGCGACCCCTGGCCCCATGCCCCCTTCCCTGGTCTATCCCTGAATCGCACCAGAGAAAAAACCCAATCAGTGGATGGTCTTCGCTAAGGAGATCGACCAGGATCCCGGGAGCGCGGGAACCCAGAACCCACCGAAATCGGCCTGGAACCAATGACCGGGAACCCGGGAACCCGGAGCCGGGCACCCAGTTCCCAGCCTGCTACGGGAAACGCTCGCGTCCGCTACAGGACCGCTTCGGTGCAAGCACTGCCTGGGGAAAAGTGCTCCGGGCGGCCCCGCCGTGGCGGCGAGGGCACGCCGAGTGAGCCTCCGAAGAACGACGACGGCGACGCCGCGCTCTTACTTCTTGTGTCGGCGTCGCCTCCACCCCGCGCAGGATGGCCACCACCGGGCACGCCTCTCGGGGGTGGACGAAGAGAAGGTGCGGCGGCAGGAGGAGCTCGGCTGCCCTGGTGCGCAGCACGCAGCACGTGGCGTGTTGATGCGGAGCTCCACACGCAGACTAGAGATGTATACAGGTCTCACGCGATACTCTCGCCAAGGCGTGGGCCCACACGCGGCGCATCGACACGCACACCTCTTCAGCACGGTAACTCATGCATGGCGCTTCAGAGCGGGCGCAGCGAGGCAGCCAAGGGCAAGGGAGTTTCGGGCACACGCCAACATGGATCGGGGATTCGTGGGCGGGGGTGGGGAGCTACTGGGCATCGCTCGGACGTCCATTCCCATTCCCTGTGTTTGTTTCGGTTCCGTGCGTGGTTTTTTCGCCAAATGATCAAGGATGCTCCTCGATGGTCCTCGCCGAAGGAAAAATGCACACGTCCGAGCGATGCCAAGGCCAAGTCCCCAGATCGGGGAACGCTGCCCCCGAAACGTGGCGCCGATGGTGCCCACTTTGGCGACCGGAGCGCGCCGCTTCTGCGCACGGAAACGAGGCCCGCCGCTCATCCACGCTCCTCGATCTGTGCTCCTCGATCCGGGGCAGACACCAACCTCAGCATGCACTGGACGCCATACCGCGTGTGCGACGCGAGTGGGCATGGGTATCCTCTTCCTCCTCCTCCTCCTCCTCCTCCTCCTCCTCCTCCTCGTAGCCCTCCTCCTCCTCCTCTTCCTCCTCCTCCTCCTCGTAGCCCTCCTCTTCCTGCTCCTCCTCCTCCTCCTCCTCCTCCTCCTCCTGCTCCTGCTCCTGCTCCTGCTCCTCCTCCTCCTCCTCCTCCTCCTCCTCCTCCTCCTCCTCCTCCTCCTCCTCCCGTCAAAAAGTCGACCCCTGTGCCCTGCGATGCGTTTACGCCTGGCCGTGGCGACGAAGGGCCTCGCGGAGTCGCCCCAAACATTGCGCAGGACCTCGAACCTCGAAATTTGATCCTCCCTTCCCGAAAATAGCTCGAAATCGGTCCAGGCACTTGAGCAGGAACCGACCATCCCGGCATTTCTATAGTCCTACCACGAAAGGTTCTTAGAACCCAAAAATGTTCGAAAAACAAAAAAAGTTCTTAGAACATGAAACCGGAAGTTGCCCCGGGCTCCCCGGCAAGAACTCTGGCCCGCGGCGCCCGTCCGCGACCATTCGCACACCCCCAGGACGCTCCGGGCCAGGCGCAGCTGCTGGAGCCGGAAAGCACCCCGAGGCGAGGACACCCCCAAGAACCACCGACGACGGCCACGTCGCCCGCGAGGACACCGGCCATCACCACGACGATCACGGTCAGCTGATGCGGGGCACGGCGTCCCCCATACCCAACTTTGTGGCGTCTCCGGCTGGAGAGTCATTTGTCGGGGACACACGAAGGGGGGCGTGCCCGTCCTCGCTAGGCGTGCGTCCGAGTCCCCCCGGGGATGTATCCCCGAGTCCCGCCTCTTTTCTGAGCGGCCTGTCTTTGAGTTGGGACGGGGGCTCAGGGATTGAGCAGAAGTCGTCTTCGATCAACGGCGGCACGGACGCTTCTTCCAAGCGCCGCTCCCTCGTCCGCCCAGATGAGAGGGATCGTCAGGAGGGCACATCGAGCCTGAATCGGCGATGCGTCGCCGATATATCGGGGACAAGCCCCCGACTGCAAACGCAAAAACGTTCCTGGGCGGGGTGGGCCATCGGGCCCCGTCGGATGGATGGGCGATCGGGGGCCGATGCGTCCCCCCTTGATTTGGGGAACGAGCAATGGCATAAACATAAAAACTCGGAGGTCCGCGCGGATTTCTCGGATCGGCGCCGGACCCCCCTCCCTGGCGCGCGGAGCGCGCCACGGGCGGCGCCGGAGGCGCCGCCCTGGGGCGTCCACCGCCGATCCGAGAACTCCGCGCGGACCTCCGAGTTTTATAATTCATGTCATTGCTCGTTCTCCCCGAACCATCGAATCCGAAGCGTGCTCCCCGGCGCCCATCCCCACCCAGCGCTGCCCCTGGCCCCACGCCTCCAGCGCGGCCCGCCAGCGCTGCTCCGCCGTCTCTCCCGCGGCCGCCGCCGCCGCCGGGGCCAGCGGTGCCTCCGCCGGCGGCGCGCCCATGGGGCCCGCCGGTCGCGGGGGGGGCGGCGCGGCGGCCAAGCGGGCCTGAGCCAAGTGATCTGCTGGGTTCCGGATGTTGGTGTGGGCTGGGTGGAGGTAGAAGCTCTCTCATAACTCTTCGAGGTGGCAACGCGACTGGACAACAAGCAGCGCTCCCACGGCAGCTTGAGCTCGAGCGGGCTTCCCGAGCGAGGCTGCTGAGCGGTGTGAGGGGCCTCCCTCCTGCTCCTCCTGCTCCTCCTGCTCCTCCTCCTCCTCCTCCTCCTCCGAAACCAGTGGCACTTTCTTTTGATCTCGGCGGCGGGAAAATTCCCTCCGTCCCCCAGGGCGCCTGGGTCCAGGGCAGTCGCTCGCAGGCGTGCCTGGGCTCAGTGCGTCTCTTAACCTGGGTGGGCGAGGCCGCCCTCAAAAGCCCAAGAGGGCAAGGAGGCCCCCCCCACCAGGCCCAAGCAGGTCCATTGCCCGCGACCCAGCAAAACGGCGCGGGTGGGCGGCGGGGAGGGTTTATTGAAATATCGTTGATGGTCTTGGGATTGCACTGGTCCTCCTCCTCCTCCTCCTCGTTCTCGGTTTCGCCCTCGTCACCTCCTGCTCGTTGTCGTCGTTCTCCTCCTCCGTCTCCTCCTCCTCCTCCTCCTCCTTCTCCTCCTCCTCCAGCTCCTCCTCCTCCTCCTCCTCCTCCTCCTCCTCCTCCTCCTCCTATCCCTCCTCCTCCTTCTCATCCGTCCCCATGCAGCGGGAGCGGGGCCCACGAACTCGCCCAGGTTGCTCAGCCAGGGGGACAGCATGGCGTCGGATTGGTTCAGGAACTTCCTCAGCCGACGACAACGATGATGACGACGACGTTGTAGGCGACAGCGGCGGTGGCGACGGCAGCGGTGCTTCGAACACTTCGACATGTTACGGCGTCGCACCCGCAACGGTTACAGGACTGCGGCGCGGCGGTCTGGGATAATCATATGTTAAAGCACGGCGGGGTCGCACCAAAAGACCCAGACGGTCGACACTGAATTTGGGGACACCGTGCTCTGCCGATGCGCAATCTCTGGATACGGAATCTCCGTGCATGGCATCCTTTATTTTTCGAACGCCACATTGTGGACAAGACCCCAGATGCGAGATGGTAGCCCCAGATGGCTGCACACTTCTCGCGGGCTCCCTGTTGCTACGGACCCCAATCTGCTCAGCCGCGGGAAGACAGCTCGTCGTCTGCGGTCTGAAAGGCTTCTGCTCGCGCGAGTCCGTTTCAAGCCGCACAAGTGCAGACGATGCGATCTGATTATTCTCATCGGAATTCGTACTACTGTCAAGAACTATTGCTCATCGTGTCGCGGCGGCGGCCCCAGCGACACGCTATGCCTTGCATTCGGATTGCGTTTCACTCCGCTCCGCAGTTCGCCAGGCTCAGAAAGGCTCAAAACTTTGGCGCTTGGGGACTGGAATGTGGATAGCTTGCCTGACAGGCGAGGGAGGGCGTTCTGCGGAGCCCAGCCGAGGATTCCCGCGGCGAGGTGGGGAACTTGTGGGGGACACAAGAGGGGGGTGCGCCAAGCCAAACGGTGCTACCAAGTCTGGGGTATAGAAACACGGTTTGCGTTTACACGTATCGGCGCCAGCGGCGGGCTTGTTTGAAACTTGAGCTGCGCCTGCGGTGTCTTATGCGACCCAGGTAACATAGACAGACAACAGTGGGAGAGAAAGAGAGACAGAGAGAGAGACATATAGCAAGACAGTACTAGCAACATGTGTACACACATAGAGAAAGAGAGAGAGAGAACAACAAAAAAGAAAGAGAGAGAGAGAGAGAGAAAGAGAGAGAGATAGAGAGAAACAACGCCAGCAACAACAACAGCAAAAACAACAACAACAACACCAACAACAACAACAACAACAACCAAATCAATGAGAGAGACATCTGATAAACCAGGGCGAGTCAGCGCGGCAGGGCGGCGAGGAGAACGAAAGCGACACAGAATGCGCCACATCGAGGGGCGAGAGAAATGGGGCCGGAGGCAGAGCCAAGGGAGAGCAGACGCGCGGAACGAGCTGGAAGACGCACCGATCACTGCACCGACCTTGCCGACGTGATGCAGCGGACTCCTGCGCGGACTCCTGCCAACGCAAGACCACGGAACGGCGAACGCAACACGACGTGGATTCCGCGTGGATTTGTTGTCCAGTCTTCGTTCCTGGCAGACAACAACAAATCCGCACGACGTTCGCCTCGAAAGCCAGAACGAGGTTCTCCAGGACACTCCGGGCCTGTCCTGTCGTTTTCCGAACGCAATCCGCTCTGCGATGTTGGCGCCATGAGAGTTCGAGAGAGCAGGAAGACCAATTACGGCCAGCACCGGCTTCCGTTAAGTTGGGTCTGTCCCCCTACCAGGGGATTTTGGACGAACAAATCAAAATACTCAAGAAATGCCCAAAACATGCCCAAACATACTTAAAAAATCGTCCCCCGACTTTTTTTTAAATATTGTTTAATATTCCCCCTGTAGAGGGACAGGCCCGACTTAAGGCTTCCGCCGATCCACCACCTGCGGAGCCGCCCCCCCTCCCGTCTCCACTGCCGCCCGCCGAGGAAGAGACGCGAGGCCCCTCGATCCCCCCGACAAGGCGAGGCCGCTTCTGGACCGCCCGACACGAAGGAGGCACATGAGGGCTGCCGGCTGGAATATGGGGAAGCTGTATGAATGACGACCTGCCAGACCACCTGAACCCAACCCGAAGACACGAGTTTCGGGTTGGGGGGGTGCGGGCTCCACATGTGTTTTGTTCAATGTTCCCCAACACCCCCCCCCCAATGGAAATGGAGGGCAAACTGAGGCCTTCGGGTTGGGTTCGGGTGGTTTGGTGGGTGGTGAATAAACAGAACTTTTCGGAACGCCATGTATGTTGGATCGGCGCGCACCCGTGCTGGCGCGCGGATCGCGCCAAAGGCGGCGCCGGAGGCGCCGCGGGGATCCATCGCCGATCCAAGAAAACCGCGCGCAGCTTCATAATTTAGCACGTTTATGTTGCATTTTCCTTCCCTGCCGACGGATACAGAGAGCAAACAAAAAAGAGCGCCGGTCCTCGCTTCCGTCAGCGGCCGGTTGCAGCTTCTGGAGAAGATGAAACTCATCACGTCCGCGGTCAGCTCCGAGCAGCGCGTCGTGCACTCCACATACCTCGCGAGGGCGAGGAGCGGGCGCGCAGGAAGAAGGGAGCGATTCGACGCCAACGCAGGGCCCAGCGGTGTGCGGCGGGAGCTGATAGACCCTTCACGGCTGAGGGGCCTGGTGGAGGCGCCCCGGACGCAGAAACTGGCCAGACACCTCTCCTGCCGTGATCTGTTCCACGACGAGGGGAGGAGGACTGGGAACCAGGGGAGCTCTGGAGCGACTTAGGCCTCCTCCATCCCATGCTTGGCGGATGGGAAGGTGAGGGGGGACCTCCGGGGGCGGCTGGGGCGGCTCAGGGGGGAAAACATCGACATGGGATCGGCAACACACCGCCGATAGATCGGGGATAGGCTACCGATCACAAATCCTCACGATCCTGGGCGGGGTGGGCTATCGGGTCCCCCTCGGCAATGACTGGGCGGTTGGTGGTCGATGCATCACCCCTCAGCACCGTACCCTCAGACCTGGGCGTCGATTTAAATGTCGAACCAAGCGTTTTCGCGCATTCTCGGGTCCTGAGGCCCTCACGGATCATTCCGGCTCGAGAACGCCGTGGAAAGATGGAATCCAGGGTTCCGCTGTGCCTTTTCACGATGTTGCATGTGTCTCTACGTCGAAGCGCACTCCGTACGAGGCAAGGCCAGACGCTGAAGAGGAGCAGGTCAACAGGCGGGCCTGCAAGAGGAGCCTGTCAACAGGCGGGCAGGCAGTTCTGAGATCCTTGACAAGCAAGAGCGCCATGAAAAGAAGAGACCGCCCGATGACACCGACCAGCCACCGCGCCATGCTGGCAGTGAACTGCACAGCTCGACCCCTGGCCGCCACGAATCGTGTCCGAACCCGCCTACGCTATCAGCAGCATCGATGTCTGGAGGTAGGCGCGGACATCTTGGGTCGGCGCTGCACCCGCCGTTCCACACCCTCTCCCCCGCGCGCGAGGTGCGCGCCCAGGGCGGCGCCGGGGGCGGCTGGGAAGGGGGTCCAGCGCAGATCCAAGACATCCGCGAGACCTTCCAAAAGTGTCAGCCAAGGGTTTTTTTGCTTATTTCTTAAAACATGAGAGGAAAGCATGATGGATGGGCACGGCTGGAGCATGTTGACGTTGAAGCCGATCTCCACGTCCTCGGGACGCCCGTGCACGCCGGTCGGCTAGGTGGGAGCATGAGGTGAGATGGGTTCCCGCTCAGGGCAGAGTGGGTATCCTCCCGCGCCCGAAGCAGGGAGGGGGGGGGCAAGAGGAAGGCTCGAATTTGTCGGGCGCGTTGAGGCAGATCAGGGCCTGGGCCCAACACACACACACACACACACACTCACACACACTCACAGACAGTCACACTCACACACGCTTTTTCGTCAGCGGCGAGGCGGCGAATTCCGCTCCAGCGAGAAGCTAGGTAGGGACACTAACTAGCGAATTGGCCGGCGAGCACCACGAGGGAGGGGAAAAGGGGACGGCCGAGAGAGGAAGAGGGGTCGCTCAGACGCCGAAGAGTTCGACGATGAGCAGCCGGGGGGGCAGCAGCAGCAAGGCGCGCAGGGCCAGAGCGCGGTGGGCGGCCGTGGCGAAACACTCGCACACACACACACACTCTCACACACACACTCGCGGCCGTGGGCCAGAAGCTCACACACTCGCACACACAGCCGAAACTTGCAGCCGCCCGAGGTGCCATTGCTCGAGGCTGGTCTCGGGGCCTCGCCTCGGGCCGCCGAGGAACACTCGAGCGGGAGCGCCAAGGTCGCCCGTGTCACGTCGCACGGGCCGCCTTCGATGGGCCCGTTTTCCACCACCACCACCACCACCATAGGTTGGAGGGGGGAAGGAAGAGGAGGACGAGGAGGAGGACGAGGAGGAGGAGGAGGAGGAGGAGGAGGAGGACTCCCTCCCCTTCCAACTTATGGTAGAAGTGATGGTGGAAACCAGGCCGATCAACCTTCCTCAACGACGGTCGCAGACTTCAAATTGCTCCGAACTCCCGCTGGCCCGCACGCGCCGGAAATCTGCAAGGTGCTCACGGGCAGCGCGCGAGAATGTGCGGAGGCGGCCGGAGACCTCCCAAACATTGGAAGCAGAACTCCCTCTCCTCCACTCCTCCTCGTCCTCATTCTGGTGCGCCGAAAATGGAGGGCCAGGAAGAGGGGGCTAGCGTCAGGTCGGGCGCGTCCCCCTACAGGCGGATTTTGGAGGACAAAATCACAAATCGTCAGAAAGTATACCAAAATAATGAAACAATGCTCAAAACATAGTCCCCAAACTTTTGTTGTACTATTTTTGAAATTTCCTCCTGTAGAGGGACAGGCCCGACTTCAGGCTAGCGCAGTATGGCCCGAGGCATGTGCGGGCACAAGGGGGGGGGGGGCAGAGAACGTGTTGGACGCACCCAGCTCGTCCTCCTCCTCCTCCTCCTCCCCCGGAGGCCTCCGGAGGCCCTGCAGCCTCGACTACCCATCCCTCCCCGGGGCAACCGTCGAGTACAATCCGTGCCGCGCCGCCCCTGACCTCTCCCGGGGACCGCTCGGCCCAGAGCTTCGAGGCGAGTCTGGCCGTGGAGGCGAGGGGTCTCCCCAGCGGGGCCCCCAACAAGAGAGGGAAAGCGAGGGCAGGCCAGCAGTGCCAGGGCCTTTCTCCTCCGATCCTTCTCGTCGTCCCGCGCCCCCCTCCCCTCGCGAGCTCGTGGAGACGAGCGCCGCGGCGCGCTCCCACGCCTTACCCCTCGGTGGGAGGAAGTGGGTAGAGACATGAAGTAGGAAGGCGTCGGAAACAGATTGGGTTTCCGCCCGCCTCCTGAAGAGGAGGGACGAGGGATC